TTGGAGAGTTGCTTCCCTTGGGCGTGCCAGAAACCTACGAGTTTGGGATCGAATCCCGGTTTGTACCAATTATGTTTCTAGGTCTACCAGCACGATGCCCATGCTCGTGGGTTTCATCAAAACCTGCATTACACCTGGATTAAATGTCCTGCATTAAACGGACACAACGTGGTTCATTCAAGAGTTTCTTAAATATGGTATTACACGGGACATAGTTCATTTTTTTATTTGATTACTCACCCAACATTAGCAAATTAAATTAATAATATCGAGCAAAGTTCTTCTCTCCTAAGAATTTAACGAGTCTGGTGACTCTCAGCTTTCCGCGAGTTAAGCAAGGTCTAATACCATTGTATGAAATAAGCCAAAAAGCCAGCCAGACATCAGGGCTGGTAACTTCAAAATGTTACAAGCCCGAAATGGATTTAACCAGACCAGACACCAAGATATTGTGAATTTACTTAGATGTATGGAACATCTAAAATTTTTACCAGACCATCGGACTGGCTAGCTGTAAATTTAGACCGTCCGTCAGAAATCTAGCCCGTCTCGGGCGGTCGGACATTTCATATACTGCTAATACTATGGTGACATAGGCATTAACATTGTGACGTCATAACTGTGAACCCCTTTGACGTCACACGTACGGCACCACGTAATGTTATTACACAATGTGTAACAACATTGTAACATTATTAAACAGTGATATATATTATCTTCAACGGATGAGTAATAAATAGAGAATACTACACGAGGTCTCATTACATACGAATTATACGAAAATCTTGTCTTTCCTATGGTATCTGACCGAGCAAAAGCGAGTTTAGAAACCATAGGAAGGTCACGAGTTTCGTATAATTCGTATGTAATGAGACCGAGTGTGGTATTTTATTTATTACCCACGTCTTACATGCATTAAATCGACAAAATAGCGCATTTTTGTTATTGTCATGGCTTCAAACCGAAACCGATTTCACAAAGAGGTTGCGGAAGAATTTTGTTCTGTAGTACACTTTTGCATGACGTCAAACTGTATTGACGTCACTACGCCATTCTCGTCTGTCCCCTTGGTAACCGACGTCACGATGCATGTCAGTTGTCATTGCCTCTCGTACAGCCTCCTTCAGTAAACTACTCCGTAGCACCCCGTTTCTTGGTTTGCAACTGCTTCATTCGGCTAACATCACTGGTGGATACATTGCGTTTATGTTTTTCGACGGATATAATGTCTCAGTTCGACTCACAATTAAACAGCGAAACGGCAACGTTCGCAATGTTTACATTCCCACAATGCACATAAGTTGTAGAATGTATGAATTCACGTGTTTGTTATGAATGAAAAAATAGTCAGAATGTGACCTAATTGAGAAGTCATCGGTTATCCTATCACATCGTTAGAAACTCAGGTCAAGTCGTTACGACACAGGTCAACGCGATACGACACTCGTGTGACGTACGAGATTAGCATGCAACTACCCATACGTTGACCACGTGGGTAATAAATATGGAGTACTGTTCAAAGCGTTGTGAAACCCATCTCACTCACTCACTCACTCAATTAATTTTGAAGTAAGTTATATTTACTATTATTTTAGTTGCATATCGGAGCTTTACTCTTAGGACAAATACCACCCTTCTTTGAAACTGTTTTGCAGTTGATCTTTACTTCTCACAATTTACACCATGACCCATGTCATGTATTGTTGAAATTGTACAAAACAAGATATCGCAATTCAGCCTGTATCGTGAAAACATACCAGTCCGAAAACCTCTCTATCCGTACCGTTAAGTTTCAAAACATGCGATATGTATACCATCTGAGAATATCGGTTTACGGAATAGACCGTTGATACCTAATCACCATGACAACACTACGCCTTTACTGCTTACACTGGCGTGACGCGCCAAACTGTTACACTATCATAGCTATTACATATGCATGACCCTGGCTATTTGTATTTACTACTTACGTACATCACAGCTGACAGGCATTTGTGTTTTTGTCTTTATTAATAACTCATTGTCAGGAAGTCAAAGAAAAAGCTTTTATAAAGTAATAAATACTGGCTATGTAGTACAGGATGTTTAGCAAAATTCGGTACAGGAAATTCTAAACATAATGTACAGTATATGTTATTATGTTAATTCGTATGCGCCTTTGTTTAGTGAAAACCATTATCGAAATGTAAGGCAACATGGGGAGATGTGATGACTGGGGTCAGTGATAGTTAGGGTAGGTAGGGTGTTCATGGATGAGTGTTGTATGATGGAGAGAGAGAATGTGTATGTGTAAGTGTGTGTGTGTGTAAGATTATGATATCGTGTGTGCGTGTACGACAGCGTGCGCGTGCGCTAAGAGCTGTCGGAGTTTTTTTATGTACACCCCCCACCCCCCACCCCAACAACAACAACAAACACACACAGGCCCAACATCAACAAACAAAACCAAAAAAAAAAAAAAACAAACAAACAAAAAACAAACCAACAACAAAACAAAACATTGAGTAAGGTGATATACATAATTCACAATTCCACAGATGCATGAATGACATCAAGTTCCGTACGTTTCGCCCATTTCTGGTGTTCCCCGCCGTGATCGATATTGCTGGAATATTGCTTAAAGCGGCGTAAAACTAAACTCGCTCCGTACGTTTCACATAGCTGGAGTAAAACGTCAAACAAAACAACAAACGACAAGCAATCACTGAAACGGTCATAAAAGTATTATACAGGCATCGAAAATCACAACAGGTTATTTTATGAACGATTCATCCGCCCAGGACAAAAGTCAGTCAGTGGAGTAGATGTCTCCTTGAAGGGATGGGTTGTTTGTTGTTTAACGCCGCACTCAGCATATATATGTCAGGGTAGAGATTGCCATCGGAGTCTCTACTAGTAGAGATTGCCATCGGAGTCTCTACTATTAGAGATTGCGATCGGAGTCTCTACTGGTAGAATCTCCGATCCTACTAGTAGAGATTGCAATCAGTCTCTAGTGGTAGAATCGGAGATTACCCTTCAATATATGAAAATAAATTTGTTTTTCTTAATATTCACTTGCTTGTATAAGTGTAGAATTGCAATCTCCACTAAAAGTAGGATCAGATCTGAGCTTCTACTGGTAGAGATTGCGATTGTATAGATTATTCTCTGTAATCAGAGTCTCTACCAGCAATCTCTACCCTGACAAATATATAACGGCTGTCTGGACCAGACCAGAGATTGAGGTGAGGTGAGGTGAAATTGGGTTTTACGTCGTGCTTGAGAATATTTCGCTCATATGACGACGTGCATGCGTGTGTATGTGCATGTGCGGCTGCTTGTACTAGCCCAGACTGAAGCTGGTTTTATAGTGCTAGCCCACTGAGATACCATGCCGCAGTGAAGCATGAATACCCCACTCAGCCACATTATACTGACTCCGAGCCAACCAGTCCTTGTTGTACCCATTAATGCCGAGCGCCAGGCAGGGACCAACAAGTACCATATTTTAACGTCTTTTGGTATGACGCGGTCGGGGATCGAAAGACCAGAGATTGACATCATGAGCATCACTCTACTCGATTGGGATATGATGACATACATCAACCAATTCAGCGAACCTGACCATTCAATCCAGTCACGAAAGAGTCGCTTACGAAAGTAACGGGTTGCTGAATACCAGTTACAACATGGATCGACGTCACGGAGGAATATTGCTAAAACGGCGTAAAACTAACATCACTCACTCACTGAGAGAGACAAGCATGGGTTGCTGAAGACCAGTTATAACAGCTACCAAAATTAAAGGGAGTTTAACAAACCACTTCATCCCTATTCATGTTGTGTGTATTTAATATAATTAAGTATATATGTATACATGTTTATGCATCATCAGCTTGTATCGGTCCCTGGCCTAGAGAAATTTATTTAAGACAATTAAGGGTCTCCCATCAGACACCTAATATATCACCTACGCTTTTAATAATATACTACCCATCAAAAGTTTAGACTCACTTAAAGCACTCACTATATGTTATGCATATATATGTGGTTACATCGAAGATGATTTTCTCCACTAACTAAGGGGAACCAACTGTAAACCTTATGCAGATGAATAGCACGAGGATCATCCATCAAATTGCTGAAAAGCATGTGCGAATATCGTGCATGTGAAGAGCTGCGTTTTGGTGTAAAGTGTTGTTAAGAATTCGCCAATTTTCACGGAGTTTCATCATTTATTGAACTTATGACAATACTCTTTTCAACATTACGAATTTGTTTTATAATACATCAGTTCATGTGTAAACAGAACCTTTAAACTGTATGGAATATTTTGCAAAATCTAGTTCAGAACAGTTGTCTGAAGTAAGTGGCTACATTTACACTAGTGAGTATAAACTTGTGATGGGTAATATATCTTATGTGTCCCCAGTCTAAACAATCCGTTTTCACTTCTGTACAGTATCGATATAAATCAACAGTCTCATTTAAGTGTTATATTTTTGTATTGTGTGTTTCACTTTTCTATCGCTTCTCGATTTTAGACCCGTGGAGGTCCGGGTTAGACTGAACCTTCAGTAACCCATGCTTGTCGTAAGAGGCGACTAACGGGACCGGGTGGTCAGGCTCGATGGCTTGGTTGACACATGACATCGGTTCCCAATTGCGCAGATCGATGCTCATGCTGTTGATCACAGGATTGTCTGGTCCATACTCGATTATTTTCAGACCGCGGCCATATAGCTGGAATATTGGTGAGTGCGGCGCCATATATTTTCGGGCGGTGGGGTAATATTGGCTCGTCACGCCGAAGAGTTGCATGGGTACAATGTGTGAAGCCCATTTCTGGTGTCCCCCGCCGTGATATTGCTGGAATATTGCTAAAAGCGGCGTAAAACCAAACTCAGTCAGTCAGTCAGTATTTTATATTTTCCAAACACCTGATGAATCTGCGCGATTTCTGGTCGAACCGAGTCCTTGTTTTCAAAGGGAAGTAAGTAGTGACAGGCAAGCGGAAATACACCTGTTGATGTCCCTTTTGAGTTTCCGCGGGACGGCGAGGTCGCGACCATACAACGCCATGGGATCGCACAGTTAACTAGTAGAACGTAAGATACTGCATCGTTGTTTAATGCAAATACGACAGTTGTTACGCGTGACCTGTTTTCGTGAGTGAAACCAGCCCGTAGAGCTGGGCATACCTGGTTCGCTTCGACCGGCGTTGTTGACTTTCTGTCCTATCTGAATTTCCGTGTCTGTTTGTGTACATCCCAAGTTGAACGAACGTCATTTCAACATTGAACATTGCTGTTATATCGCTGATTGTGAGATGTAGCATGTAGTCAGACCATCACCGTGTGCCGTTTTTACAATGCCTAGGCTGTCATATAGTGAGTGAATGAGTTTAGTTTTACGCCGCTTTTAGCAATATTCCAGCAATATCACTTCGGGGACACCAGGAATGGGCTTCACACATTGTACCCATGTGGGGAATCGAACCCGGGTCTTCGTGACGAAAGGACGCTCTAACCACCAGGCTACTTCTCCGCCCGTGTAGCAAGTAGCCTAAGTAAGGCAGGTTGACATGATTGTGATTTGTGTCTTTTTTAGCCATTCGAGGCATTCACTTGCAATTCTTTTAATTAGCAGATCCCCAGTCAGATGCATGAGACAGACCTCTCACCCTGTTGCAGTTCGTAGTCATTGTAGTCGTGGATGCTGTTGCGTGATGGTGGAGGAGAAAGCTGACATGGAGGCGGTGGTTACAGAGGATGAGGATGAGGTGGATCTGGAGGACAAACTTACAGATTGTCTCCAAACCTCAAATATTGACCAGGGTGGGCAACAAACCAGTGACTGTATAAAAGTTTGGAACCATACAGTCACATTTATAAAAAACTATCTATGTCACAATATATTTACTGTCAAACACTGGTATGATGATGTATGTGATTATGGGTCTACTGTTGAACACTGGCATGAAGATATATGTGACTATATAGCTACTGTCAACACTGGTATGATGATATATGTCACTATATAGCTACTGTCAAATACTGGTATGACTATATATGTCATATATATGTCTACTGTCGAACACTGATATGATGATATATGTGACTATATAGCTACTGTCGAACACTGGTATGATGATATATGTCACTATATAGCTACTGTCAAATACTGGTATGACTATATATGTCATTATATGTCTACTGTCGAACACATGGTATGATGATATATGTGACTATATAGCTACTGTCAAACACTGGTATGATGATGTATGTAATTATATAGCTACTGTCTGTAAACACTGGTATGATGATATATGTCATTATTTAGCTACTGTCAAACACTGGTATGATGATATATGTCATATAGCTACTGTCGAACACTTGGTATGAAGATATATATGACTAAATACCTACTGTCAAACACTGGTATGATGATATATGTCATTATATGTCTACTGTCGAACACTGATATGATGATATATGTGACTATATAGCTACTGTCAAACACTGGTATGATGATATATGTCATTATATAGCTACTGTCGAACACTGATATGATGATATATGTCATATGTCTACTGTCAAACACGTGGTATGAATATATATGTGACTAAATAGCTACTGTCGAACACTGGTATTATGATATATGTCATTATATAGCTACTGTCGAACACTGGTATGATGATATATGTGACTATATAGCTACTGTCGAACACTGGTATGAAGCTATATGTGACTATATAGCTACTGTCGAACACTGGTATGAAGCTATATGTGACTATATAGCTACTGTCGAACACTGGTATGAAGATATATGTGACTATATAGCTACTGTCGAACACGTGGTATGAAGATATATGTGATTATATATCTACTGTCGAACACTGGTATGATGATATATGTCAGTATATATCTACTGTCGAACACTGGTATGATGATGTATGTGACTATATAGCTACTGTCAAACACTGGTATGATGATATATGTCATATATCAACTGTCGAACACGTATGAAGATATATGTGACTATATAGCTGCTGTGGAACACTGGTATGAACGGATGTACAGGTCTACAATCGTATGATGTTATAGCGATTGATATGACTGAAGCTATTAATCTTCTATCTGACCATATGCCATCTATTCCAGCCCGTGCTCTCATTGAACAAGGTGCTGACTTTAACAGAGTAATTCAACACGGCTTCAATGTCCTGGACTATGCGTATGATGCAGCTGTAGCCTCCGGGAGGCTAGACAGCTTCAATCTACTGCTTCAAACAGGTCGTCTTTATTTGGGTGAGTGTCTCTGGTAATGCCCTATCTAAGCGGGGACGGTGGGGTAGCCTTGTGGTTCAAGTTTTTGAAAACCTGAAGACCTGGGTTCTATTCCCCACATGGGTACAATGTGATAAATGGGTGTAATGATCACCCAAAGTATATTGTAAGTACATATGTTTCCATTTTGGTGTTAATATGGTAATTTAGGGCGGTGGGGTAGCCTAATGGTTAAAGCGTTCGCTCATCACGCCGAAAACGTGGGTTCAATTCCTCACATGGTTACAATGTGTGAAGCCCATTTCTGGTTTCCCCCTCCGTGATATTGCTGGAATATTGCTATAAGCGGCGTAAAACTAAACTCACTCACTCACAATGTGTGAAGTCCATTTCTGGTTTCCCCCCGCCGTGATATTGCTGGAATATTGCTGTAAGCAGCGTAAAACTAAACTCACTCACTCACAATGTGTGAAGTCCATTTCTGGTGTCCCCCCGCCGTGATATTGCTGGAATATTGCTATAAGCGGCGTAAATCTAAACTCACTCACAATGTGTGAAGCCCATTTCTGGTGTCCCCCGCCGTGATATTGCTGGAATATTGCTAAAAGCGGCGTAAAACTAAACTCACTCACTCACAATGTGTGAAGCCCATTTCTGGTGTCCCCCGCCGTGATATTGCTGGAATATTGCTAAAAGCGATGCAAAACTAAACTCACTCACTGTCCCTGTCTAAGCGTCATGTAACAGTGATGTATTTGCGTGGTATCCTGCTGACACTGGCTGTGTCCTTCATCTTCTGAAGACTAGTGAAGCTATGTGAGATTACAGCAGTAGTCCTTTCAACTGTGTGGATATTCTGGTCCAGATAAACATTTTTTGGAACCTGTGGAATTCCGAGTTAGAATTTGTCTTCCGCAACCCACGCTTGTTGGCGACTGATAGGATTGTTAGGGTCGCTGAAATGGTTGACAGTAGCCATCGTATCCCAATTGCGTAGATCGATACACATGCTTTTGATCACTGGATTTTCTGGATTATTTGCAGATCGTTGCCACATAGCTGGAATATTGCTGAGTGCGGCGTAGAACCATAAACAAACAAAACATCTAATTTCGCTATTTATTGATGACTAATATTTTGTCCCCAGGCGGCCCCGAGATCTACAACCTGTGTGAGTACGCAAATCCCCGTGGTGAGGAGGAGGCTAAGTATGCCCAATATACCCGCGAACGTGTGTTGGACCTCCACTCTGAGGTCGAGGCTGTTCCCGGTTGGAGTGACGGTAACGGCCGTCGAGTTGTCCTTGAGCAGCTGTTTGACTTACTTGTTGAGTCAGGTGCCGATGTGAACCAGGTTCAAACGTCAAATCCAGACACTCCGGTATCCCATGCGGAATGGCTGGCGCGTCTTGAGGAGGACCATTTGTGGACTGTACGGGGGACTGTTGACGGCAAAGGCAGGACGGACGGTTATAATGAAGCTGTGGCGTTTTTCAAGACAGAGATGTTCAGTGAAAGCCTCGTGTTCAGTTTGTTAGAAAACAATCGGTTTCAAATGCTGGAGAAACTACTGAGAACTCCCGGATACAATATCAACCAGCCTTCCTTTCACTGCCCACTGTACTACGCTATGTCAAAGTTGTCATACGACCCATTCAAGCTCCTGCTTCAATACGGCTGTCAGCCTCGATTCTGGTATACATCGGGAACGGAGAAGAAGCTGTTTCAGGCGGCACATTTCGCCGATCCTAATTATTTAGACAAAGGGTGGCTACATTATTTACTTCAGTTCAGATGGATTTTCCCTATGCCCGCGTCTGCCATTAACAGGAAAATCCGTCTGCTTGTGCAAGCCGGGTTTGACGTGGCACGTACCGATTGGCTGTTTGTGCCGGAAGTGCCGGAAGTATCTGACGGCCACATGGAAGACCATGTAGAGCTTCTACAGCTGATAGATTGGCTTCGTGATAGAGCGTCGACACCGAAACCTTTGAAGGAGATGTGCAGGACAGTCGTACGATTTATTATTAAGGATAACTTCATCAGCGGGATGCAGAATTTGCCAATACCCGATGTTATGAAGAATTATCTTATGTTGAAACATTGAACAGGACAATACATTCCGGACATATAATCAACCATATACAGGACAATGCATTTCGAGCGTAGATAGATGCTCATTATGTTGATCACTGGAGTGCCTGGTCCAGATTCGGTTATTTATATACCGTCGCCATATAGCTGGAATATTGCTGAGTGCGGCGTAAAACTAAACTCACTTACTCGCTCAATGCATTCTGGACACATATTTGTCAACTTTCCACACAACGATCCCACACGAAAAACGCAAGGAAAACATCATTAGCTTGATCCATGGAGCATTTGTCGTAACGTAGATGTAGGTTCGTCTCTGACGTGAACGTTTCAGGACAACTTGTGAAGGAAGTGCAATCTGACGGTCACCGATCGAAGGCGAGAATCGGATGTCAACTTTTTTGATTTTGAGGGACACGATCCAACATTCGAAATTAACGTCGGTCCTTAGGCCCGAACCGCCGCCATATAGCTGGGATATTGCTGAGTGCGGCGTAAAACTAAACTCACTCACTCACTCAATTAGGCCCGAAGCCGGCTGAAAACCACGCGGACCTACAGATTTTGTTTTCTTCAGGGACATCCTTATGACCTACAGCATTTTCATCCCCAATAAATAATTATTTCCATATTAAAATATAAAGCCCACACATTCTGATCAGGACCCACAACTTTTTAGGGTTCTGTGTCCTTAGGCCCTGCAGCTTTTCAGGGTTAAGGGCAAACACAGACACGATCGGAGCATACTCTTACTTCTTCATCGGGTGAATGGGGCGGTGGGGTAACCTGGTGCTTAAAGCGTTCGCTCGTCACGTTGAAGGCCCGGGTTCGATTCCCCACATGGGTACAATGTGGGAAGCCCATTTCTGGTGTCCCCTGCCGTGATGTTGCTGGAATATTGCCCCAAGCGGCGTAAAACCACACTCACTCATCAGGTGAATGAAAGACTAGGAAACAAACAGCTATATATGTACATGTGAAACAACCATGGTGAGAAAACAAGGGAAGCCAGTAGGTAATTAGCAGTAACTTGGTAAGGTGGATCGAAATAAGCACTAAAGCTACTTGTTTCCTAGTCTTTCATTCACCTGATGGCTGTTGTCGTGTCCCTCAAAATAAAGAAGCTGACATCCATCAATTCCCACCTTTATGTGTATCGTTACTAAATGGGGGCGGTGGGGTAGCCTAGTGGTTAAAGCGTTGGCTCGTCACGCCGAAGACCCGGGTTCGAATCCCCACATGGGTACAATGTGTGAAGCCCATTTCTGGTGTTCCCCGCCGTGATGTAGCTGGAATATTGCTAAAAGCGGCGTAAAACCAAACTCAGTTAGTCAGTCATTACTGAATGCCGCTCAAAGGCTGCATGTGGTATTTGCAGATGGGATATCTAGACATAAGGTACATGACTTCTCCTTGCTGATCTGTTTGTTTATACGTACGACTCGGAAATTGAGAAACAAGACAAGGGAATTTACTCTCCAGCTGATTCACTGACCCATCTGTTTTAGCAGACTATGGTATCTATAATTGGGCAGGCCTTTTCAGGGGTGGAATAACTTTAAAATTGCTAGTGTACTCCGGTACAGTGGCACATGTAAAATCACTTGCCCTGATTATTTTCCCACTATACCGGCCGTTTTCTTGTTGATTTTTAAAATAAACAACATAATTAATATTGGAAAGTCAACTGGACACCGGTACAGTGTGATATACAAATTTGCTTGCCCGACAGAAAAAAACACTGGACTCGGGCGTCGGGCAAAAGGGTTATTTCCACCCCTGCTTTTCAACCACCACTTTACTTGGTATCATATGACTCTTGCCCAAATGATTCTGATCACGGTTGCAACATTCAAATCATTTCAAGTCAGACCGATTAAGATCCGGGTTAGAATTGGTCCTCAGCAACCCATGCTTGTCGTAAGGAGTGACCAACGGGATTGGGTGGTCAGACATGATTGACACATGTCATTGTATCCCAATTGCGTAGATCGGCGCTCATGCTGTTGATCACTGGATTGTCTGGTTCCAGACTCGATTATTTACAGACCGCCGCCATATAGCTGGAATATACTGAGTGTGGCGTTAAACAACAAACAAAACAACCATTTATGGTAGAAAAGGGGGGGTATTTCTGTATTCCACGTGTCCAAAATGATATCTGATGCAATTCACTAGTTTGATCTGAACCATATCTCCCTGTTCTCTGCTGCTTTTCTTTGTTCGATGCTGCTTTTGCTTGCAGTGCAAGCTGTGTTATGGATTCAAAATCCTCAAATTTGCCAATAGATGATCTTGCTGTACCTATTTCTTGAATACCAAAGAAAACAGAATAAATTAGGTTTTTGAGACAGGTCTTTTGTTCTTTTACATACACAGATTGCCCACTCCTAAACAGACAAAATAGAGCAGAATAAAAGTACGAGCGTTCCTTTGTTCCACAGTTTCACCAACAGTACAATACACATCCTCGATAATCTCCTTCCTTATTTGTTTCCGTCAGTATATGTATTAATGCTGGAGAGGTATGATATCCTGGTGGCGTCAACATATTGGCATTCCTGTCGGCATGTTTACAATGATAATAATTTTTATAAAATCGATATGAAACTTTTAAAGTTAGTAGTGATTACCAGCGTATGATATATTGTCAAATAGATAACACACAAAATCAGTTTCTAGAAGAAGCGAAGTGTTTGAGATACCCTGATGTATGTGGGTTGTGATGCTCGTATCCCCACATGGGTACAATGTGTGAAGCCCATTTCTGGTGTCCCCCGCCGTGATGTTGCTGGAATATTGCTAAAAGCGTCGTAAAACCATACTCAGTCAGTCAGTGTGATGCTCGTATGTGCTCGAGGTAGGAAGATCGTCTGTGGGAGGTGTATGAAACTATTATGTATAGGTTTATGAAGTTCTTCATGTGTGGTTGGGGGCGGTGGGGTAGCCTAGTGGTTAAAGCGTTGGCTCGTCACGCCGAAGACCCGGGTTCGAAGCCCATTTCTGGTGTTCCCCCGCCGTGATATTGCTGGAATATTGCTAAAAGCGGCGTAAAACCAAACTCAGTCAGTCTTATGTGGTTGATTTGTGAAGGTCTTCAGTGTATGTGTTATGAAGATCGTATGTGGTGAGGGCTGTGGCGTAGAAGCTCTTATGTTGTAGATCTTTGAAGATCTTGTGTGGTTGGTCTGTGGAAGTATTACGTGGGTCGGTTGTTATGATCTTTTGTACTTAGTTTGTGAAGCTCTTGTGTGGCTTGATTGTGAAGAGCTTATGTTGTGTGCGAAAATCTTGTGTAATCGGTCTGTGAAGCTGATATGTAGCTGCGTTATAAAGCTCTTTGGTGGCTGGTCTTTGGTGATCATATGAGCCTGTGAGGCCCTTATGTGGCTGGTTTGTGAAGGGTTCATGTTGTGTGCGAAAATCTTATGTGATCGGTCTGTGAAGCTGATATGTAGCTGCGTTGTAAAGCTCTTATGTGGCTGGTCTTTGGTGATCATATGCGGCTGTAAGGCTCTTATGTGGCTGGTTTGTGAAGAGTTTATGATCTTATGTGATCGGTCTGTGGAGCTGACATGTAGCTGGGTTGTAAAGAAGCTCTGATGTACTCTGTGTAGTTGGTGTGTGAAGCTCTAATGTGGCTGGTTTGTGAAGAACTTACGTATACGTTGTTTGCGAAAAGCTTACATCATTAATCTGTGAAGCTGATCTGTAGCTGGGTTGTAAAGAAGCCCCTGTCTAGCTGGGCTGTGATGGTCGTATGTGGTCGGTCTGTGAAGCTGATCTGTAGCTGGGTTGTAAAGAAGCCCCTGTGTAGCTGGGCTGTGATGGTCGTATGTGGTTGGGCTGTGAAGCTGATCTGTAGCTGGGTTGTATAGAAGCCCCTGTGTAGCTGGGCTGTGATGGTCGTATGTGGTTGGGCTGTGAAGCTGATCTGTAGCTGGGTTGTAAAGAAGCCCCTGTGTAGCTGGGCTGTGATGGTCGTATGTGGTTGGGCTGTGAAGCTGATCTGTAGCTGGGTTGTAAAGAAGCCCCTGTGTAGCTGGGCTGTGATGGTCGTATGTGGCTGGGCTGTGAAGCTGTAATGTGGCTCGGTTATGAAGAGCTCATGAGGTAGGTTTGCGAAGGTCTTATGTGGTTTGGCAGTAGAAGCTCATGCATTTAGGATGTTAAGTAGAAGCTCTTATGTGTTCAGGATGTTAAGTAGAAGCTCTTATGTGTTCAGGATGTTAAGTAGTAGCTCTTATGTGTTCAGGATGTTAAGTAGAAGCTCTTATGTGTTCAGGATGTTAAGTAGAAGCTCTTATGTGTTCAGGATGTTAAGGAGAAGCTCTTATGTGTTCAGGATGTTAAGTAGTAGCTCTTATGTGTTTAGGATGTTAAGGAGAAGCTCTTATGTGTTCAGGATGTTAAGTAGTAGCTCTTATGTGTTTCAGGATGTTAAGCAGTCTTTGTGTTCAGGATGTTACAGAAGCCCTTTATGTGTTCAGGATGTTAAGTAGAAGCTCTTATGTGTTCAGGATGTTAAGTAGAAGCTCTTATGTGTTAAGCAGTAGCCAGGATGTTAAGTAGAAGCTCATGCATTTAGGATGTTAAGTAGAAGCTCTTATGTGTTCAGGATGTTAAGTAGTAGCTCTTATGTGTTCAGGATGTTAAGTAGAAGCTCTTATGTGTTGAGGATGTTAAGTAGAAGCCTTATGTGTTCAGGATGTTAAGTAGTAGCTCTTATGTGTTCAGGATGTTAAGTAGAAGCTCTTATGTGTGTTCAGGATGTTAAGTAGAAGCTCTTATGTGTTCAGGATGTTAAGTAGAAGCTCTTATGTGTTTAGGATGTTAAGTAGAAGCTCTTATGTGTTCAGGATGTTAAGTAGAAGCTCTTATGTGTTCAGGATGTTAAGTAGAAGCTCTTATGTGTTCAGGATGTTAAGTAGAAGCTCTTATGTGATGTTCAGGGATGTTAAGTAGAAGCATTTAGGATGTTAAGTAGTAGGATGTTAGGTTGTTAGAGAGCTCTTATGTGTTGAGGATGTTAAGTAGAAGCTCTTATGTGTTCAGGATGTTAAGTAGAAGCTCTTATGTGTTTAGGATGTTAAGTAGAAGCTCTTATGTGTTGAGGATGTTAAGTAGTAGCTCTTATGTGTTGAGGATGTTAAGTAGAAGCTCTTATGTGTTCAGGATGCTAAGTAGAAGCTCTTATGTGTTGAGGATGTTAAGTAGAAGCCCTATGTGTTCAGGATGTTAAGTAGAAGCTCTTATGTGTTCAGGATGTTAAGTAGAAGCTCTTATGTGTTCAGGATGTTAAGTAGAAGCTCTTATGTGTTCAGGATGCTAAGTAGTAGCTCTTATGTGTTTAGGTTGTTAAGGAGAAGCTCATGTGTTTCGGTTGTTAAGTAGAAAGCTCTTATGTGGTTGGTCTCTTTATTGGGTAGTGAAATAACTGACGCATCTACGCAATTAAATCAAAAGGATGTGATACATAACCCAAGATGGCATTTTTATGAATAATGTCCGTTTAAATCGAACCCTTCTTCATTCAGGACTTTTGAAAGAGCGAGTGAGTATAGTTTTACGCAGTTTTTAGCACTATTCCAGCAATAGCACGGCGGGAGACACCAGAAATGGGCTTCACACGTTGTAGCCATGTGGGGAATCAAACCCGGGTCTTCGGCGTGACGAGCGAACGCTTTAACCACTAGGCTACCCCCCCTCACCCCTTTCTGTTGAATGAACAACACACAATGAGGGCACATATATGCAGATCAATCTGACACGGATCCTCTGGGCTTGTCAACGTTGCACAGAGATTTGAGGAAGTGGAAACAACATGGAGGCTCATTAACACCAGTACTGGATATAGAAACGATGCTTTAGTTCTTTGTGTGTC